TCAAGAATAAATTCCTTAACATTTTGGTCATTTTGACGAATCATCTTATGAAATTTCGCTCTTTCACGGCATTCAAAACCAGGGCACTTTACATGATTCAATAATAACTCCTTTAGCATTGCATAGGGAAGTGAAATAGGTTTCTCTGGATATGCCAAGGTTTTCAATAAGCTGTACGCTTCTTTTCCGATGAATGTTAGGAAATGAGCCACAATTTTATCATCTTTGACATCTTTCCTGGTCATACTCCAGATTTCAAACCTTTCCAAATAATCTTCAAAAGCTTCAGAAGTAGAATGAATATCTAGCTGTTCCATTACAAGTTCCATCGCGACGCCACTGTGATGCTTAGAAGTATATGAATCAAGAATTAAAGAACTGCAACAACGAATGTATTGTATTTAGAATTCGAAATCAAGCATTTCACAACAACAAGAAATTACTAGTTCATTCAAACACCACACTTTCATTGCATCATCCTAAACTATTATTTGATCATAAAATCTTGCTGCATTGATAATTTCTATAAAATGTTATGTGTAATACATATATTATCATTTAGTCTTATTCTCTTCAACAAACATAGACTTTAAATAATTTTCACACATAATTTGGTTTTCCTTTTTGTGTATTTTTCTCTTTATTAAAATTAACACTGTTTTCCTAAACATTACAACACCTGTTCAATTATGGTGGATGTAAACATTATTGAAATTCTTGGGTATAATTTCATTTCTGGTAGAACCCAAAATAGTTATACACAACATTTAAATATGAATATGCTGTTTGTGAATAGTAATAATAATAATCAATGATAAATATATGTGACATTTTAGGTTAAAGTTTCTGAACTGAGAACTGTTATTTCCTATAACTTTTAGGCTGGAGGAATATATCATAAAATCTTTTAGAACACCTAACATTAATCCTTGTAATAGCTCACAGACCGTTTCTCATGTACAGGTAGGTGTGTACAGTCATTTCATTAGGTTGAGTTGTGAGAATGCAAGTATTAGTATGTTCCAACGGAATAGTAAACTGACAGAGTATTCTGAAAACTAATTTGTCACTAGAATGGATTTCAACAGTTGTTAGCAAATGGAATTATATCATAAATATTCCATAGCAGATAGTATCTATCACACCAGCAATACCAACAAAGTTTGAAAGAAAAGTAAACAATCATCATTTATGAATCACTAATCACACGGTCAGACTCAAGTTTTTTCAATGCCTATATTCGTGTTGTGTTTGCTTAACGGTTTCATCAACACATACCTCAAAAATCAAAAAGTCTGGAGACATTACAATAACTCTGTTAACTATGACCAATCATTTATGGTTATATGTTTGACTTTAACTGTATATACAACTTGAAGACTCACTATTCCACGCTAAATGTTTCCTTTCCTTTATAAGTAGCAATAATGTGTCGCTAGCTGTAAACAAAACCGCAAAATAGATAGTTCTTTAGGAACTCGACACACCAGATCACCAGGCAACTCATCTTCTCAGTATAACTGACAGGCATAGTCAGTTCGCCCCTCACTATCTTGACCATTCTTTAAATTTGCTTTCGTTCGTCTTCATTCATGATTTTTGGTTTGGGTAGATTATTGTATTCGTGATATGAAAAGTGTTACAGACAAAAATGTCGCCCACTGTGGATATCGTGACATTCTCATTGGTCAGCACAACTTTCTCCGATTACTTATCTACTTACGCCTATTACCCCCTGCGGAGCATAGGCCGCCAACCAGCATTCTCTCTCCCACTCTGTCCTTATTCTACTTTTTAGTTCTGTCCAACTATTGTTTATTCTTCTCATATCTGCCTCCAATTCTCGGGGCAATACGTTTGTTGGTCTTCCTCTTCTTTCATCTTGAGGACTCCAAGTCAGGGCTTGCTTTGTGACGCAATGAGTGTTTCCTCAATGTGCATCCTATACAGCTCCAGCGCTTTTTTCCAAATTTCTTCCCAAGCCAGAATCCACTTTGTTCTCTCTCACGCTAAGTTGTTTCTGATAGTATATGGCCAATGGATCTGAAGTATTTTACGTAGAATGCTAACAAACACTTGTATCTTTGTGTACGCGTTTATACAGGAATTTTATGCCACCTGTGACCAGTTTGTTGAACGTACATAGGTTCACAAATCACTCACCGTATTTATTCCTTCTACCCAGTCTCATGATGTTGCAGTGGCGCGAGTCGAGGTTGAGTATGAACAACGCTACTGACCAATTATGTTCCCGTTACAAATCGTAGTCACTCCGTGAATCAAAAGTAGAGAAGAAGGTTTAATCCAGAAAAGGGTGTATATTTGTTGGCGATCTCGTGATATCGAAAAAACACAGAGATCGTGCCAAAGAATACGGGAGAAACCTTGAGCGGAGTAACTGTATGGCAGCAACACAAACCAAGAGCGTTTGTACAGAGTGTGAATAAACAAGGAGACCAGCAAAACAATTCTTGGTACGATTAGTTATGATAATGAATGTTTCTATTCAACCAGCAGCGTTTTCTTTCTAAAAGTGGATTCATTAAAATGTCTTCTCATCTAGTGATGTCCATGCCAACACTGGCATTTTTTTAGCCTATCAGATTGATTAGGTCTTTGGATGGTCATTTCTCGATGTTTTACTACAGCCTCCCGTAGAATCGATCTTTAACGTCTTCATTCCATTCGTTTACAGGTGAGTAGCATTGGATGACGCTTATCGTATTACCATCTTTCTTTGTTTTGAAGGATGCTTTGATGATCTTGAGTCCATGAGATTCCAATTATATCAAGTTTCGGCATAGTTTTGACCAACTTCTCCACAAAATCGGACTGTAACACGGCTGGGCAACAGAAATGTTGCTATGAATGAGAGGGGTCATTGGCCAATGAATTTTTAGCCAAGCTCTCTTTCCAAAACTACTTCCTTCTCGATGTCTACAAGCCGTTCTAGTCTAAATTAGAAACAGTGGCGTGAACAGACTGATTGAATCTGTCAGTTGGCGATCACAATCTCTCACTTCCTAAACTTTCGTTCATACTCGAAAACCCCTTTGGGAACCAATCCCGAAAAATAACTGTTTCTAGACTTTGAGAAACAGATAATCTGATTTGTTGTTTTTGCCTGGAAACGCACATCAAATCTGCGAAAAACCACGCAGTTTTCCTAGCGCTAAATCTTCTGCCACGAATATTCCGGGAAACTCTCTGGCCGGCACTCGCTAATTGCTACCGCGACAGCGCCAGTCGTTGGTGTAGACATTCTAAAAGAGCAAGAGCTACTGGTCGGCACAGTTAAACTGATTTTGATGTACATTAATACTAAAGTGCCTGTGAAGTTTCATTCTCCGTATGTAGGTTATGTTCAGTCACAATTAAACACGTAGTCCATCCGTTCTTGCAATCAGTACTCGACGCGTACCGAAAACGAAACCAGGCGCAACTTCAAGTTCCGTGCGTAATCAGCAATGTTGTATATAACATCAAGACTACTAGCTGCCAAAAGCCAAGTCTTGCCAAAAATTAATTCATCTACATGGTAGATTTGGAGGATATCAGACCACTAAACAACCCATAGTCACTTTCGTTGCATTTAGTCACCGAATAGGACAGTGTCGGTTAGCGTCCGACCGGGGTTTATCGACGACTGAATGCGAAAACCACACTTCGTATCATACTGTCTCACAGTAACGGCTTAACAGCTACTTCGAAAGGTGTGGCTACTTTTTTCAAAAATCGACTAACTTTGAGCGTACAGCTGAACTACAATGACTGCGTAAGATATTATTTTTTTAGTGACATTCCTAAAAAGAGCTATCATGACTCCATCCGGACTCTTCGAATTTTCAAGTATGCCTTTTGGTTTAAGAAACGCTGTCCAAGATTTTCGGAGATTTATTGTAAGCGTTTACAGAGATCTCGACTTTGGGCACGGATATACTGATGGCTATCTAGTCAGAGGTCTAGACAAACAGTCTCAACTCTAGCATCTGCATCTTGTTCTCCAACGACTTCAAAACATAGAATAGCTGTTAACAAACAGAAATTACTTAGCAATCAGAGAAGTCTTATAATATTGGGTAAACAATAACTGGCAACCTTTAGATGGTTAGGCATAACAAGTGTCTATTAGGTTCATTTTATATCCTGATACTCGTTTAAGCTTGTAGGGCTGTTACCGGATCCAAGCGGATAATATTGTCTGTCGACATGTGTGGATCGTTCTACAGGATGACTAACGTTTGTGTCTCCCTGACGTACCACAGTAGACTGCAACGTCTCTGTTAATCTCAGTTCAAATTCGCAATGCAATCAAGGCTAATATGTGATGCATTGCAACCAAACTCATTTACGACAGAGACTTTCAGGAGAATTCCTGGAACTTTCATCTTCAAGGAATCCAGATCTAAACTTCTACAGTAGTAGGCTTGCAAACTTGTCACCACTCGACCGCAATCAGCTTATATTTTCACCCAGCTCACCTTACAACTTAGCAATCACGTTTTTGTATGTCGTGACTCGCTACATCAACGACTCAAAGCACACGTCAAGTTTGAACTTCTGGCTACTATCATCTTACGGCTGTCAGCATCTAATTAACTGGTAGTGTTCTGTTGTGGTAAATAAATCCCCATCCTTATTAATGGAGCTCAGTCACAAATACGCACAAGAACAACAATGAGCACGTTAGGTAACGCATCTCCTCAAATAATATAGTAAGCTTTGTCTATTCACTCCTCAATATCTCAACCATTCTTCGAAAGCATTTTCGATTATCTTCATTGCTGACTACTGGTTTCACTTCGTTAGTTGATAACTAACATCATATTCGATTTGAATAAATATCCGAATCGCTTATGATTTTCGATTATTTGAAGCAGGATATTGACGGTAAAGATTTTTTAGGCTGGATGTTAGGAAACCTACACACTTGTACAAATCCTTAAACGTGCAACAATAAAAAAGTGATAAAATTGACATTTTCTAACGAATACCATTGACTTTGATATCGTCCACAATTTTTGTTTATCTGCATAACACATAACAAAGTAAAGTCCTATGTAGGAGGGGCTTTTTTGACTTATTTTTTAAGGTAATGTTCCCCTCTTTGTTTTGGTAGATTAAACTCCATCCTAGGACTACACAATGTTTGTTTGAGTCTTTGACCGATTGATCTTTTCCTACAGTCTAAAATTTGGCACATTGGTAGTTTACGTGGAAGTTTATGAGCTACTATATCACTGCGTTTAGTTAATCTGAGTATATCAAAACATTCCTATTATTTTCTTCATTATATACTTCTAAAACCTCAAGTTATGTTTCTCAGGTGAAGTCTGAGCTGCAAATTTGAAGATAAGCCTCTTAGTATGGATCCCTTTCCTGTAAAGCTAGACGATCAGAGCGTTATCTCCCCAAGAATGTCTATATAAAATGGGTAACGTGGATAACCATACCAAATCTCTTGAGTTTAAAAACCTCGCTAATCGTTTGCTGCTAGCTCCAACTCAACTAGCGGTGTTCGAGTAAATGGTCTGTACAAGGTTTATGTACTTATATTAGCGATCTCAGTAATGTAGCCTCTTAAATGACTGACAGTTTCTAAAGGTTAAGCAGCAACGCTATATTCGCATTCGGAAATTTATCTGTATGTTACTGTACTAGCCTGCGTTGAAACGAACATCAATTTAACAGTTGACTAACTGCTTCCCCAGTTACTGAAATTTACTCTTAATTTTTCGTTGTTAAGCTAAACTCTAAGTAGTTTTCGGGTAGTGAATTTTCTGCGTCCAGTAAGATGCAAACAGGTGCGTGCTCACTTTAAAACACGAGTAGTCTAAAATGTGCGCTAAACTGAGTGATAGCTCTTTCAAGCCTTTCTGATAATGGCTGGTAACTATTCTATTCAAGTTGATTCCGCGTCGGACGTTATCACCGTTTATGCTTAGATATCGCGATTTTTAGAAAACAACTGTTTTCTGAATATTGTTGCAAAAGATAACCATCGTAATGTGTTCCCTGAGCTGGTACGTTGTAAGGCCTACAAATTACTAGCAACCGTGTAATCGTAAAATACATTGTGTATGTATGTCTTATACTCCTACTTCGGCGTAAACTCACCTGTTGATGATGAGTCAATTAGAATATCGAAATGGCCTATGTTACAGAAACCGAATGGGTCCATGATATCTGTTCTGAAGTGATATCCACGTATCCTCCTCCTAGTTTAGTCTGTTTACCAGTTTCGACTAACTATTCGTTTCAATGTATAAATTTCGTTCGTCAATATTACGGAAAGTTAAAACTAACATGAAAACCTTAATAACCAGTAGAATATTGATATAAAGCCGGAGAGAAGAATATTAAACATGAACAAGCTCTATTTAAATACTCTTGAACGTATGGAAGTGATTGATACTTTCTGGTTGCACCGAAGCAAAAAATTTTTTTTCGAAGATTAATTAATGGACTGACAGTCTGATTTACCTGATCTCATATCCACAAAACTCAGGTGGCAATTCTAGAGAACTTACTTTTCGATTTATTGACTCCCTTCATACTTGTGTAAGTGTACTCGACGTTGATTGTGACTCAATCATTTTGCAGCAGTATATCCAGTAGGTGTATATTTAATCCGGAAATTGATGTAATCATTTTAACTCATCGGTAATAAATGAATGTGGAACTGACAAACTTTTTTATGACTTCAGTAATAATAATGCAGTGATAACTTTGGAGAATGAGTTTAGTAAAGCCTCAACTGTCAGTGAAGGATAACTCTTTAATCAGAATTTATTTCTCGCCTAGAATCTCCGTCATCATTGTGTGCAGTGCATTTAACAAAGCGAATATTCATGATAAAGTACTTGAAGTCAGCGTTATTTTCGGTATAGCTTTGTCTTCTACGTAAAGGTAGATCGTTCATTTGAACCTTTGAAGTTTGACTATTCTGCTCTGTACTACATTTGTATCTGTATTTTAAAGCTTAATCTCGGTATCTATCCAATTTAAAGTGTAGTGAAAAGTCGTAACTCATATCTCAAGTTTATTGATTAAGTTAAAAGCTTTTATATCAAATCAAATAAATGCTTTTTATTTCCTTAGTGCATTTCAATGAGTTGGCATCAGCCTGGTCTTGATATTAGTGCTGCTCCTTTACACCAACTTACACCTCATAACCTCTTATCAAATGAATATCTTTCTGGATTTGATCAAAGTTCTGGTGGTATTGATTCGGAAAACGCACTTTTGACAGAACAGCGTGCACAGTTAACAGGAAGAGAACTTCAACAACTTCTTAGTGTTGCTCATCAAAGCTTAGACGAAGCTCAAGAAAGGTATTTAAGTTTCTTTCAAGAATTCTTATTTAATACAATTACAATATTGTAAGAGTGCTTCATTTATAAAAGAACTCACTTTCAGCTACTGCAAAGAAATCCTTCTTACTTAGAGATATTTTATTTCTACTTAGTACTAAAGTTCGATTTCTTGTTCCGCGTTACTATATTAAACCGAAAAACTACTGGTGCTTTAGTTTGACATCGCCGTCTTATTGAAGACCATCACTCTACCGACATACACCGCTTCGGATTTTAGAATAACGTACACTATATTATAAAGTTCAATCAATCCTTCGCCGACAGCATTAACTGAGCTTGTTGTGGGCGAATCCATATACCAGATTGACTATGCTCACCACTAACAGTTCCATGATATCCCGTCATGACTAAAAGCAAAATAAATCCATATTCCAAGGTTTTATTGAAGGAGAACGTTGGCATTACATGGGGAACAGCAAATAGAGAAAGATGGCAGCAACGCGAAGAGAACGTTGCGCGCAAGAAGTCGAAGAAGTGTTTTTGGTACAGTTAAACAAAACGAGTACAATAATGTTTATTTTTCACAAATCATATTTTCTTCGTAGAAGCGTTCCACTACAGCAGCCCCTGCCTAGAAAGGGTTCACACTTTCGATACATAGCGGCTTCGTTCGGGGGGGGGGGCTGGTCGGCCAACATTTGATTGTAGTATGGGAGGGTTGACGAACAGGAAGCGACGAATGAAGTTCGAGTTGTCACCGATAGTCTTCTACGTTGAACTGTACCAGTAGTAACGTGCCAGGTATGCTGCTCGAGTTGATGTGCCAAGTTTGTCTATCGGATTGGCATGCCACACCAGCGTGGCTCGTATCCAGAGTCTGAGGATTGCGTTCGTAGGCGTTCGGACCAGATAAAGCTGCAGACGTAGGATGGAACCAGTTTGAGCGAAGGAGCCAGAAACGACCGGTGCGAAACCATTCGTATAATAGATATATTCGTAACCAGAAAATCGACTGAGTGCATTGACAAGAGCGTGGGTGATCAGGCCAGCTTTCGCTAAGGTTGACTGTATTCGACGGTATCAACAGGGCATTGTTCGGAGGTATAGGCTCGGGATAAAAAAAGAGGGAGAGGGGAGAAAAGTGTAGCATGCATGTAGTACAAGTGTAAAGTCCTATGCCGCACCCGTGGTTGATTGGTAGTTAGTCGAGAAAGCGTACAAGTAGGCGTACGCGGCGACCGGAACGCGAGACCGTAGCCTCGTGTGTACCTCGTGAGCCTGCATTCTCATCCGCAGTCAAGTGCGGCGTGGTCTGCCGATCTGGACGTAAGACCTGAGTCTCATCCGTAGATAGTGCAGATGACTCGTGCTGCTGACTGGGACGTGAGAATGAGGTCTTTGGTTTTTCTAGCGTGGGATCATTGCTTGTATCTGTTAGCAGTATCATGTGTATTATACTGCTGTACAACTTGTTGTTTAGTGGGTACAATTATTTTCGATATCAGTTATAGTTGTTTGGGTGTATTTTTGTCTTAATCTTAAACTTGTCTTTGCTGATCAGTACTGTATGACACTGTAGCTGACTGGAACTAATATTAGAATAATCGAATCAGGAATTGCTTGAGAGGTAACTTTCTTTAAATGTGTTGCTACAACGAAGCATAAGTTCCTTAGATGAAATTGCCGAAGATTAAAAAGTAGGCTTGTTTTGCCTTCCATACGAATAGCAAAATTGTGCAAAATTTAGTAGTGACCTATTTAAGTCTTTATGTAATTATTTGAAATCTGAACATTATTACTTCATTTTTTACATACTCGAATTTCCGTTTACTCAGTTTTGTTTTTTGTTTTCGACACAGTTCGCTCACTATTCCATTTCCAATATTTATTGGTTATTCGTATTTTTTGTTTCTATTTCGTTGGTTTATAGAAAACAGTCACTAAACAGTCATAGGTTAAAGCCTGCTCTCTACAGTGTGTTTTGTGAAATCAAGGAAAAGACAGGTACGTTTGCACGCAATTATGTAGTTACAACATATTTCTTTCACGTTTACGATGAAACTTCCTATACCTAAAATTGTGTTTTCTTCTAACAAATTTTGATAATATACTGAGAACTAGAAATTTATGAAAATCATGTGATATATGACTCTAATATTCTACAGTAATGATAAAATTCTGAAAAGGCAAATGTGAATAAATTTTTGGGTAAAGACACGAAAGCATATATGCTTACGTATCGGTAAGTTTATTGCCGAGTTACTGAGTAGCATTTATCATTGCTAAGTATCGAGGACTGTTATATGTAATCAGTTAGTTAATCAATTGAGTACAAGGCGTAGCAGGTCATAATGATCATTTAACACCACTCCTTAACTTAGTATTGTGTTTTCACTTTAAGATAATGTTATTCTCATTAGATATAGAATGAAAACAAATCAAGTAAAATCTTATTTTGTATAAATCTCTTAATACATTGTTTTACATGGTAGACAGAAGTAACAGCTCATAGTTCTAATGTTACAACCTTCGTGTAATTTTTACTTCTCGAAATTATGTCTAGCCCTAAGTTTGAGGAACTCAGCTGTCTCTGCCGTAGAAGATGAAGCTAATTCACCAGACCCACAGCTTTTACGCCTGGATAAAATGTTAGTTGCTGAAGGTGTAACAGGACCTGGTGGTAGTCTGAATAATGATCTAAGTGACGGTCCTGGAGATTTGGTCGGTGGACCCGGTATCGGTTTAGGACCTGGCGGTGGGCCTGGTGATTGTAATCAAATTGAACATGCTGATTATCGCGCCAAATTGTCCCAGATTCGTCAGATATATCATGCAGAACTGGAAAAATATAAAAACGTAAGCTTTTTTATTACTGTTATTTTTGTTAGATTATCACTTGGGTTTTTATTTATCCTGAATAAACTAATGATCAACTGAAAATAAATACGTTGAATAAATAAGGTTTCTTTCACATATTTTTTTTTCATCAAACGTACTTGAACCCTTTTCTGATGAGTCACTAAATATCAACCATAGATACTATCGAGTTTCCCCTGTACCATCCACTACTTTATTGTTTTGCCTAGCAAACCACACGTATGAAACAGGACCGAATGTGTGAAAACAGAAAAAGGCAATAAGTAGAAATTTTATTTTAGACTGAAGCACTATAATACATCCTAACACTCCCACTCCCTGTAATTGGTTAAGTGTAAAGAAATCTGTTGCGTATACTTGAGAACTGGTTGTCCTTGTACGTAACAATCAAGCACGAGCTTGTGAAACCAAGTAGATAGAGACCAATCCTTACGATAGATCGTAGTTATCCACTTATATGGTGATACTCCGTCAAATCTTATGAAACATCCTACAATTATTTTCATTATGGCTTCAAATCTCTGTTTTCAGACATAACGACCTGTTAGTTCTGAGCGTGAAATAGGATGAAAAGGTTGGACGGTAATGTTGATGTAAGAACTTCCAGTATTTCGAGCTAATTATCACAATAAAGTTATTTGATTTTCAGATTTCAGAAATCTTATTAAGTTCATAGACCTAAACTATTACATATAAAGTCCATACTGAGTAACTGTGTTAATGATCCTTCCAGTGTTTTGTTTAATATGTTTATTCCAGATGTTGTGCATTTTTACCGAAGATAATTGTAATTAGCGTAAAATAAATCATGTTACTCCGAGTTCAGTGCCAATTCTATGGAAAATAACTACACTTTATGGATCACTTTTTTATACTTTTCACTAACTTGTACGAGTCTGTATCCTAATTAAGCAAATAAGTTGTTAAACAGTTGGATTTTTGTTTCAAAAGGATTTCCGAAGTCACAGTTATGAAGGAATAATGATCATCGGTATTTTTGTCATTAATCTGTGTTGGACAGGCCTATGTCAAGCCTTAAAGGTGTCCACATTAATCTGGATTGATTAGATATTTTCTTGTAATACTAACGCTCACCACATTGTAGTATGAATTGTTTTACTCTATGCGTTAATGAAATTCGGGCACGCTTAGATTTTAAATTCGTATCCAATCTCTTCCGAAGCGCTTCAGTCTCTAGAAAATTTGAATGGAATGGATACAAGCTACTCTTATGTCACCGGTATATTTTCATCGTACAGCTGGCGTAGAATTGGAAAAAAAGCACCTTCCAAATAATTCAGAAGTTTTTAATTTATAATTTAGATTGTATCTTGATTTTGTCCACTGAAATAGCAATAACTGTGAATTGTTATCACACTTGTTTTGAAATGAAATAACCTATACAGAATGTGAAATCGATTTTTTGACTTTATTAATGGTACTTTGGTCGTTTATAATTTTAGGTTTAATATAATTCAAAGTGAAATCAGCTGTTTAAAAGCCTTGTAACACTAAGAATACATTGACAAATCATTGCGCAAGAGAAACAACTCATTCTTCTTATTAGTTCAGTAATATATTCTACTTTACATAAAACTTATTAGTTTTTTTTCATTTTGTTATTTTCTTTGCAATTAGGCATGTGATGAATTTACTGGACATGTCATCAATTTATTACGTGAACAAAGTCGCAGTCGCCCTATAAGCCCAGCAGAAATCGAACTTATGGTTGGCATAATTCGACGGAAATTTCGAGCTATTGAAACGCAGCTGAAACAAAGTACTTGTGAGGCAGTTATGATATTACGATCTCGGTTTTTGGATGCTAGGTTAGTTCAAAAATGAATAATAGAATGTGATGTGTGTATGTTTAATGAATGTATTAAAAAAATTAGTTTTCACCATTCATAAATTTTACCAAGTGGGCTTCATGGTGTCCTGTAAATAAGATTTTCAGCGTTAGAAATTTAAAACACTAAGCACCAATAGTTAAAATATCGGGCTATTGTGATAATAAAATGAAACGCACTAGATTGTATGAATTCAAATTGTAAAAGCGTAGTGTGTTTTGAAAATCATGATTCTTCAATACCTTTTGTCCATTAGTTTAGTCAGTCTGAGCATTTAGATTTGATCACAAAATAGTTTTGATGAATGTTCCACTATGCAGAGGAAGCATTTTTCGATATTCGATTTTCCAATGAGATCTTTTATTTCTGTTTCCTTGTGTTAGGACTTACTCATTGAAATATTTGATTGGACCTTGCCGCTCCTGGTTTTGTTCTCTTAAAGACTTTTAGGTTGTAAAACAATTGTTCCATGATTAAGGTACTTCATCTTCAGTTGTTATGTCATGCATTCAAACCCTTTTGCATGTACTTCGATTCTGGCAACTGGTCAGCGTTAATAAATTCTCATACGAATACTCAAACTACAAGCTAGTTCTATAAACATGTTTAATGAATGAGTCATAAAAAATTAAAAACTCAGATTACTTACTATCGTTATGGTACTTCAGTTATTAGCCCAATCATAACGATTCATCGATTTTGAGTGATTTATTCTGTTTACTCTTTTTATTATTTGTAAAGAGAACGAATAGTTCATATTCCATTACACTTTAAAGTTGATATGATCGGTAAATTATAAGGATTCACCATACCTCTATATGCCTACTAACTCATGAATGGATCACCGAAATCCTTCATATATCAAATATTCGATTGTTTTGCGTATTGATTTATCACGGAGAAGCAGTATCAATTTCGTTACCTTCTTTCGAAATCTATCGAATATCTTCCAAGAATTTATCTTAGCCATTGCCTGCATCGCACTAATACTGAAAGAAACTTTCAGGCTAAAACATTTTAAACACCCATTGTAATTCCAATTGGTGCTCAATCGAACTCCTCAAACAGCATATAAATCTTCCATTTCAACTACAAAACTACTTCATTAGGCGGTAAATTTTTTCAGATTTAGTCAGTGACTATATTTACAAAAATTCAATATTCCGTTGGATATTTTTCCATTTTTTAGACGTAAACGTCGAAATTTCAGTAAAGAAGCTACTGAAGTACTGAATGAATATTTCTATTCTCATTTGGCTAATCCATATCCTTCAGAAGAAGCGAAAGAAGAATTAGCCAAAAAATGTGGGATAACTGTTTCACAAGTCAGTTAGTCTTTTTGGGAATAATGCGTATAGTTAATTCCAACAGTTGATATTGTAAAATAATAATATTTTGGCAGACATCGAAACATGTATACATCATTATTATTTGTTGTTCTGTTCTCTTTGAGGTTCAAACCTACTACTTATTGTCCCAGATGTATAAAAGTGATATTTAACGAATTACCAAGTGGTGAATATTTCACCTGTTTTACAATAACTATGAAGTAACTATCATTTAGGCTGAATAATTATCTCCTAATGCCGTAGGTTATCGACAGTTCTACTGATTATTTAAGAATAGTTAGGTTTGTGAAATGCATTATTACATGTGATGGCCATGTGTAAATGACGCAGTGGGTCCGGCATATGAAGTTTTAAGGTAATATCTTTCCGAAACTTGATAAAACAATAACGCCTTTGCTAATCGACATAGATCATATTCATGTCTGCATAATTATGACTTTTTGATCTATTTGATTATGACAAGTTGATAAAAACTAACTGTCTGTATTCGTAATGACTTGAATTTTTGTATTTCTATATTCATTTTTTCTAAATGCTTATCAGTAATCCTTAGTATATGAGTTGGCATAATAGCTTTTATGAATAATAACATCATTAAGCAAAACCAGTAATATACACTTTTGAGTTGTGGCTCGGTGACTAGAACAGTAACTGACTCTTAGCTAATGGATCTCAGGTTAGAATCCTGTTCAATCTATTTCGTTTTAAACTACTCAAACAATTTATTTGGATGCCAAATGCATGCTATATGATTTACTGTACAAATACATTCACACTTAGAAAATTATCCACATATTTTTCATCATATGTCATCTTTCAATATAAAAAATGAAGTCAATCATCATCGAACATAACTAATGAGTATCGTCTATTTTTATGTCATGAACGTAAAGTGGTGTTTTTGGCACAAACTTGTAACTAATCTCTAAAATAAGTGCGTATCTTTTGATTGAATCATACACATTTCAGATATTTAGGTGTAGTTCCAGAAATCGGTTAACAGTTTAGCCCATAATGTGTATATTTTTACTGAATATATCCATTGTAAATCGATAGAATAAGAAAATGAATATAAATTAACTTTTACTTTTTTGACTTATTTAAACTACTTTTCTGATTGACTGTCTATTCAGGTTGTGTATGCGTAAGGATCACTGGTTGCTGTTCTGTTTCTCCTTTTTTCTATGGAACAGTTCTTATCAGGTGTTCGTAATCGTGTTCTTAGTACCTTAAAACTCACTTGTTTAAATGGTAATATAATTGTAAATCAGGTTCAGCTGTTGGCTCATATTCTCGTTATTATCACTTTCTTGTTTAATCTAATTGGTCGGTTAATAATAGTTATATAAGGTTTACAAAGTTCTTTTGTATTTTTTAAACTAACACAAACAATTTATGATTATTCACTAGTTATACTTACGTACCTAATCATCGTCACTTTTTCCAAAAAATCGATCTTAACAGGTTATTTTCATTTTTGATCAATCCGTTCAAACTATGTATTCGCATTAAGTTACACTGCTGACCAATCTTTTTCTTCAAATTATTATTAGTGTCACTGAAATCTTGAAACTATCATTTATTAATTCAATTTTCACTTTACTGATAACTTTGTCGAAATTCTGGTCTTATATACCCGATTTTTTTGTTAAAACAGTAGTGAATTCAGTTAACTGTTAAACTGTTCATTATTCCACAGGTCTCTAATTGGTTTGGAAACAAACGTATTCGGTATAAGAAGAACATTGTAAAAGCTCAAGAAGAAGCAAATATGTACGCTGCGGCGACAGCCGCAGCAGCTGCTGCCGCTGGATCTGTTGCATCTGGGACTGGTGGTCCGACATCATCTGATGAAGTTAGTAGTTGTTTTTAAGTATTTCTGTAATAATTCATCGCATTTAATCCCTACTTGCCTATTTAGAATCTGGAATATATCTTGATGAGATCCTTACTTCGAAGTTATGAGTAGCCATACAATGCTTCTGAAAATGAGGAACTTTCAAAACAACTATACGACCTTCCCCTTTTCAGTTAGTGAGTAGACTGATAGATCGAGTTGGGAGCTTTTTATTTAAAAAGTTTTGAACCTGGAATGGTAACAGGGTTCTTAGGTTGTTTATTAATTTTTCAAGATTGGCAAAAATTTTTAATCGGACATTATTACTTAAAGTAACCCGTTTATATAAGGTCGGATTAGTGTTCTTTTGCATCGTTCTTCTCACTAAAATTTTTACATGAATTCTTAGAGCTGTATCTGTATGTGCATAAGTCAGTTAGTGAAATTGTATTGATGGATAATGATTTTGACGATATCTGTACAAACAACTGTGTGCCGAATGACGGCCATCCTTTAAGTATTTCATTATTAATTTAATTTGTTTGGTTGTTAACTGTGAACAAATTCCAGGGGATCCATTCCTTATTTATTCACTTGGTCAACACAATAATCGTGACAACTGGTATACATCTCATATTTTTATTGATACGGTATGGTTTCTCCTTTACAAACACACGAAATCTTGTTCTCATCAAATCAAATAACTTTTTGAAATTATTCGGTAGACACTATTCAAAACGGCTTTCTGAATTGTTATACAATAACCTAAATATGGCTGTCTCAAACGCAGAATGGTTTTTTGGTGTAATTCACTGTTACTGTCAAAAGTTTTTTAATGAAAATATAAGGTGCGTACGTTTAGTTTTAAAGTTAGGTCAGCTACTTTTATTATAGGCATTCAAAACTTCTGTAGTTTTTCAATTTGAAAATTATTGTCAATACGTTACATTAGGTAAATGGATTGAACATTTTGAACTCACCTTAGAGTTAATTCAACGTAGATTTGTCTTTTTCGTATAATTATATAGATCTAGTTCTTGTTATCTCACCATTTTTCGTTCTCGCTTATTAGCATTCTGTTGGATATGGTCATCCTGGCTATGAATATGATGATTCTATGGGCCTTCAAAGACCTATTCCTCAAATGTCCTGTCCACCTGATCATGACACTTGGATGGGTGGAGGAACTGGAGTTCTTGGGCCGGGTAGTTTGGATGAACCTGACTGCAAACGCAGTAAACTCTGAGTATGTTTACCTGTATGAGACAAGCTGTTCAAATAACTCCATTCGCTATATTTCACAGCTGATGAATTCAACTTGAATAAACTTATTTAATAAGTATATATATATATATATATATGCTGCATCTGTTGGTTCATGTTACATATTTTGTTAGTTGTGTATTCATTTAAAACGTGTACTCTGTAGAGGAAATAATACTGATGTTTATGCAATTAACCCATGCATACATATAAGCAGCTATGTGTATTGTTATAGGTTGAATGTTTCGGCTTTTTCTTGCCTTTTATTCTATTCCTTTTTTCTTGTATTTTATTCTTTCATATATTTATTTAATAATGTTCGTAATTTCTCAATGGTTAATGCCTTTACCACTATCATGGTTCTTTTTTTACGATATAAATATTAAACCAATTGTATTCCCTTTTGTCTTCATAATGATTTGAACGAATTCGGTTTTTTTGTTAATCATATTACTTCACCATTTTAAACAGTAAAACCATAATAAGACTGTCAATCTTAATTGATGTTGTCTTTGTCGTTGTTTCTTTTTGATCACCCATCTTTTACACACCATCCCTATCTCTCCGGTGAGAGAGTGTGTGAAAGTATATCAAATTTCTTTCTGTTTCCACTTTCCCATTACTTGCCTTTGGTGTTTTGTCGTTTAAATGGTTGATTTCTTGTTTTTAGGATTTTACTTCATTTATCTATTAACTTTTCTATTCGCTCACCTTCTTTTTTACTTCATTTTTATCATTCTGTAAAGTATGGATATGTATGTTTCAGGATTGTATCGTAAGGTGGGTTTTCTCTTTTATTTTATTTCATCTCAATAAAGCGAGTTACTTTCCTAGTTTTGTGAATATTTAAAGTAGTGATTGACACACTTTATGTTTGAATTCCGCCTTATCTACTGTGGTGTATGTATCCAAATAGTTTTAATTGGCTTAGCAAATAGTTTATCCTAAAAACAATCACTTAAGCTTGTAGGCGAATCTCATCGTGGTCATATAAGAAGTACATTACGAGAAGTTGATATCATATCTGTTTAGCGCAAGTGCAAATATGAAACGCCATTACTGGTGTCGATTTAATTTAATTTATAATAATAATGAGAGTTTTGGCAAGCGTCGTTTTCTTTCTGTATATAACTTCGACTGTAGGTGTACTTATTGATAAAATTATAGAACTAATAACTGCGAAACTTGTAATAATTTTCGCAAATCTTAGTTGTGTATCAGGAACATTATGCAAGTTTTATTGAAATCATGTCATGCTGTCGAGGAGCTCCAGAAAAACACATGCGCAAGTAGTCTATCAGAAAAGCATCATCTTGAATGTCTTGTTTCCGAAGCACTGAATTATTTTATGGAATGAGACGTTATGGAGCACTAAGTTGTTTTATCTTCATATGGACTTCAGTAAATCAACAGGGTTTTTGCTGATTGAGAATAATACATGTTATTTCATAGCTCCTTATTCAAGACAGCAAGCACTTCTGAGGTTACTTTATTTTATAAATTGTGCATCGAGAGAATCGTGTTATCCACAGTAGCGGAGATTGCTGCTCATTTATTTCAACTTCACTCTATAGCCGGAACTTATTCCTAATTATGGTTGTATCAATGGTGGTAAATACTTATACAAAATCAAATACGTAATGAAATTCACGTTGATTTTGTATTTACTCTAACTTCATGATATTTTTCAAGCGTTACATTGACTCCATAAAATAATTAATCTTCACGTGTATACTAGTGTGTAAGTATCATTTTACTACTCAGTTTTTTAATCTGATAAATAGTTTATTTTTACTACTCAATTATTCTTGGAATTCTCTTTCTCACGTGATTGCATCGGGTTGTTTTATTCAGTCAACGCTCTCTTGTAAGTTGGTCGGTCAGTGCCTACAAATATATTTTCACAATATGTCAATTCATTCATGTAGTTATATAATGTTTTCTGAAAGTAAGTGATTAACGATTTCTTGGTTTTAGCTGGCGAAGGGATTTCCATTACTTAGTAATTTATAATGAAAGAATATTTTCTTTTCAATTCTGTTAGCATTTCATCGTTCACTAAATGACCTTTGTTTTATCTTCAACACCAAGCGTTCTTTAAAACTATTCTAGTAATTTCTCTTGGTAGTAATAATCAATAATTCCTGTGAGATCTATTTTGTTATTGCAGTTAGATACATTATTTAGGTATGATAAGCACCTGTCTTCCACGTCATATGCATACTTTTTTCACAGAATGTTGATTAAAACTAATTTATAAGATATTTAATTGAGTGAATTAAAGACCGAACTTTCTTAGTTTAACAAGATATAGAAGACGTCTATGTGAACAAGTGTAATACGGCTGGCATCATTCTTTTTATTCCGTTAATCAATTCTTTCTCATTTCATACGTGTACATAATGTAGAGGAATGATTCATTAAAATAGTCGAACATTTAATCCTAGTCCAGTAACCTTAAAAGAATGGATTGTTTGCTAAACTTCCACAAGGTCACAGGGGACTAATGTGCGACAAGATTTCGGCTACATAGTGGATAAGTAATTTCGAGAGTTAGTGCATATGTCTTAATTACTCCCTCCTGTTACCCCCAATGAAGCATGGTCCGCCGACCAGCAATTCGCCAACCTACTCTGTCCTGGACCTCCCTTTCCAGTTCTGTCCGACATTTGTTCATTCTCCTCATGTTTGTCTCCATTCCACGGTGTAATGTATTTCCTGGCCTTCCTCTTTCTCTCTGAACTTGAGGATTTCAAGTAAGGCCTTGTACTGCAGAGGAGTGCTTTCTTCAATGCGTGTGCTATCCATTTCCAGCGCTTGCTCTGCTCGAGTCTATTCTTTCTTCAATAGATTGTTGCTGATGGTATCTAGTCGACTTCTCTTGCATTTGTTGTTGAGTGTATGATAGAAGAGCCAGATCATCTACAAAGTCCAGATCGTCCACTGCATCCTATTTGTCCATTGGATACCTTGCTTTCCTCTAGATGCTGAAGTCTTCATAATCCAGTGGATCACCAGGAGAAAGTGAGATGGTGAGAGTAAGCAACCTTACTTGACACTGGTTATCACATCGAACGAGTCTGTCAGTTGTCCTTCATGCACTTCTTTGCAATTTAATCCATCATAAGAATTCCGTGTGATGTTGACTATCTTCTCAAGCACGATCAATCCTTACGGAAGGGTGCTCCTGTATTTCTCACACTTGCTGAGATCGCCTTTCTTTTTTATTTTGATCAGGTATCGTTCTTTTCAGTCTGTTAGTTCTTCATTCAAAATGTTGTTGAAGAGAATGTGGAATATTTTTGCATCAGTTGCGACGTATGCTTTCATTGTCTCTGCTAGTCCTAATGCTTTGCCGCTTTTGATTTATTTGATATCATACTGATCTGTTCAATTGTTGGTAGGCCAACATTAATTGGACTGTCTGAATACTGCTTAGATGTTGCGTAGTGAACTCAGGGGCTATCCGCAGTGTCAGTAGCCGGGAATCGACATCCGCCTTCATACCTGCAACAGCAAACGAGACCAAATTGGTCACAATCAAATCTTCCCTGCTCCCCCTAATATCTCTTATATGCAAACGATTCTAGTTCACTAAACGTTATTCCAGGTCCTCTGAAACCCCGTTCTAAATTACATGTTGGAGCTTTCGATGTTCGAACCTTGTGTCAAATAGGGCAACAGGCTTCTTTAGCTAGGAATATTGAATCCCGTGCTATCGATGTTTACTGCGTCTCCGATACGCGCATATAGGATTCGAGCGAAATCAATGATGTGATTTTACTTTGTCCAGATATAGAATCAACTCGGTACGCGCTCCGTGTATCTGGAAGCCCTGCTGCTGCTGCTTCCCGTGGCCTCGCTGGTGTGGGTATAGCATTGAGTTGTAGTGCAGAACTAACTCTCTTAGACTGGATCCCAGTAGACAGTCGCTTATGCACTGTCCGACTAAATGGGATAGTAAGGACTCGGAAAGATGAGGACACTTGCCGTTACCTATTCGTTGTACTTGCCTACGCTCTCACTGACTGCAGTCCAGACGAGGTGAAAAATGAGTTTTACAGAAAGCTTTAAGAACTCATCCAAAATGTTAGGCGCTGTGATATGGTAATAGTGGCTGGTGATTTTAATGCTAAAGTTGGTGGACCAAGTGAAAAGGAAAGACTCCTGGGTGTAAGAATAATAATAATTTTTTTCAGATAACAAACATGTTACAAGAGGTTTGCCAATTTACAGGCAAGATGAAAATGTTAAGATTGGCAACGTATTTCTTTTTAAACTGTGAATAGTTACTGAAATATTTAACAAGATTCATTGGCTCCATTTAAATGGCTAAAGTTTTCTACATAAAATTATAGATAATTTTGCAGACTTTACACTGTACGATACGAATAATTGACGCGATTTCAAAGGTTGCGTTAGAACGAGCTTATTAATGACTGCGAAACAATTCAAGGTAGAGCCAGGTCTGCATATAAGAATTGATGAGGTAAATGAGCTAAGATCTAGTTGATAAACTGACGGACTCCTGAGTAAATCAGCCAAGTCTTCTGAAATTTCCAGACTAATATACTAGGATTGGAATAAGGTGCTGAAAAATAGAAATAAAGAGGACGGGGCGAGGAGCAGAACAGAAAATAGTCTTGTTTAAAGACGAACCATGACTCAGTACATACGGTTTCGGATGAAACAAAGGTATGTTCACTCTTTTTTATATTAGAACACTAACTGTATAACTGCATTTATGTAGGTTAATGAAGACAGTTCAATAGTGTGATAACGAATGGACATTTAATCATATGAATAGAGGAAATTCAGAATAACCAAATTGTTAGCAGCAGAATATAATAATGAGGCTCAGTGATCTTATGCTTTTGTGTTATTCTATTCATTCTTTTCCTTTTTAACTAAGTGGCTGAAGAAGTTATGAACGACCTCTTTTTTTGTATAATTGTCCAGATCTGCTTGTAATAGGATTTCTCGGTAGAAAGTAAAAACCAGGGCCAGGGTATGGACATGAGTTGTGGACAAGGTTAACAAGGAAACGTTACGTCAATATCACTGATTTGTTACATCCTGCTATGTCAATAGGAGCCGTAAGCAAACAAAATGTTCTGTCTCATGGTATCGCGGCTGATCAAACAGATAATGGCAACCGTCTGCTGCACCTATGCTCAGATAAGCGCATATTCCTAGCAAATACTAATTTTAAGCATAACAAAAAACAAAACAACATGTCTGTCACTCATTCTGGAGAACATGTTTAGGTTCAGATCATGCTGTTGTGTGAGGACGTAATATTTGCGGCCTACTGGACGTAATAAAGACACCGCAAAGAAACCTCTTTGGTCCTACTTTATGATAGCATAGCTAAGAATATATTGTAGGAGCAACTAGAAAAACAGTTGGGCGGCTACGTAAATGGTTTCGTAACTGATGCAACTTGGAACAATATCCAAAAAGCCACTGACACAGAAGTGATATCTACTAGTTATGTGAATCATGTAGTTATGGAGGAGCCGTAGATCTCAGTGGTAACGTTCTGTCTGGCTCTGAAGATGAACAGCATAGGCTCAGCCTGATAAAGAGCCTGTGTAAAGATCGCGAACAGTGGTGCGTAGCAAAAATAAGCGTGATGAAAGAGTCAGCGGTGAAAGCTAACATTAGGCTGTTGTTCCATCTTACCAAGGGAACTAGCTCTAGTAATTCATCTGTAAGCGAACATATCTCAGAAAAGGATGGCCGTATTATTCATTCTGAACCCAGAAGATTGAATCAATGGGCAGAACATTTCAGGAATCAATTCAACTGTCCTTCAGTCGCACTTAGTTTGCCCACGATCTTTAGTCTACCTGAAGTCCTCTGATACTAAATGAAGTTGAAAAAGCTAAGAAAAGTCTGGGGCGAGGCAGAGCAGCAAAGCTTGAAGGGCCTACCGCTGAGATTTTTAATGAAGGTGGTCCAGTTTTAAGAGTCAGACTGGCTGAAATCTTAGGCCGAATTTGAGGATTGCACTTAAACCCATCTTGCTGGCCTCAATCACTGATTGTCCCACTTGTGACAGTCACATAGTAATCAATTTAACTAATATATTGTCTAAAATATTAACTTCAGTAAAACTGCGACGCCCAACTGGAGCTCGGGAAGAGCAAACTAGATATTTGAATGTTACTGGTTATCGATGATAGGTTTATCCGGAGCATTGCCCGTGTATCATGGGACAACCGAGCAAGCAATACTGTCGTTAGGAAATGAATGCTTGGTAGAGATGGCAAATCAATAGATAAAGTATTAAAACTTCATCAGTTGAGGTGGTTGGGATATGTGTTACGTATGCACAACTGCTGACTGCCTCGACGAGCGATGTTTTGTGGTGTAGGAGTAGGTTAGAAGAAAGATAGTGGCGGCCAAACCCAGAATCAGAACAAATCCGTGAAGTCACTGACAAGTGGACAGAGCCATATTGGTAAATGAAGACTACCTGGTTGAGGTGCGCGAACCCAGGTGAACCCACTATTTGTGTTCTCTGAAATTTTAATCTTCTGTATTTTTCATGACTGTGTCTTTCACCGGTTCCTCTGGCTGTGCACCTCGAATGAAGTCTGAGGTGAGTTTAGTGGCTTTACTAAAAATATAGTAAGAGGTGTAGCAGTTAGTAGAGCGCCCAAATAAATAATTCTGTAAGCGCCCAGGTGAGGTGCCTCCTGAGAAACAACAGAGGTCTGCATCAATCTTGATGACTAACAGAACTACTTGTTTTGGGGATTTGTTTATAATTGCAGCTTGAATCATCATTTATCCATCACATTATTGGTAATAAAGGCACGTATCTTCTGTCGAATAATGAAAAGTGAGGCTAAAGTCGTAATTATTTCGGTGAGTGATTTGTCTCGCCCAGTACATGTAGTACGGGAAAAATAACTTTGCTTACTCTTCTTATCACTGACAATGTAAAGGACTGAATATCGTGTTGAAATTATTTATTCTCTCTTCGTTAGATAGAAGAATTTTTTATTCCATCCATAACTATATGGACTATTTAAATGAATACGTGTTTCACCACCTGACTTTGATGTCTGGTTGATCTAGATTTGGAGTGATGTCCGAACTAAAGTGTCCACATACCCTTAAAAAAGATGTATTCACATAAGAATATCATAGCGCGCATGGATCTACTGTGCGTGACATGTGCCTGTAAGAATATTTGTTGTCATTATTATCATTCGTTTAGACCAGTGCCATTTTCCATTTCACTTTTAATCTCTATTTCCGCTTTAATCCATGTACTTCCAGCCTCTCACACAGTCTTCACTACCAATTAATTAAATTAATTATTTACTTCTAAATATATTCTCATTGGCATAGAAATTCTCTCTTTTAATTATCAGCCACGTTGCAACTGATTGGTCTCCAATCTGGTAATGTGTAATAAGTATCAGCGGTTATTGCGGGCCGGGAAAGATCTAGAATCACAACACACAACGTTAACCAAGAACTTCGCACTAAAAATGGCAGCCACAGGCCTTTATTTTCGAAAATTAGGTTACCCGGTTTTGTACTAAAGGAAAGGCTTATTTATAAAATAGTCTCATACGTCATCTTGCGAATTCGGTTCACACAGGCCTTGTTATTCTTTCGAAACCTTTATACATAGTCGCCGTGCAATAGCAAGAGAACAGAATCACATTAATAACGTCATACATAGAAACTTCACCAGTGTTTCAAATGTGATAGCTGTTCGTTTCCAGTGACCCTACTGCCGTGAGACAAACGCACTCACTGAAATCGGGGAACTCATTAATTCACTAGGAATTGCCAATTCACTGGGAGTGGTGAATTCGAGTGATCAGACCACAATCCACTGGACATTACCAAATACCTGAAACCGTAACGAAACAACAAGAGGCCAGTACAAAGAAATCAATTGATTTATTCTAGTTTGGAATGCTCTCCCAGCCGAGGTAGTTACAGCCCCCTCAGTGGACTGCTTTAAGAAGAGACTTGATAATCACATACTCACATGCGGACTATCATCTCCCTCTTGGACAAGCTGTGCCTGTTGCATATCTTGAGACCTGCTAGTTGTTACCACTGCCATCTCCTCAGATCACTCAATTAATCTATCTCGCCTATTCCTCTCCCTTGCATACACTTCGGTCCTCTCTCACAATCTTGACTACCAATTAATAAACTAAATTCATCTATATATTACTCAGTTCTGAAATTTTACCCATATTATCATTTTAATTTACCCTTATTACCCTTATTACTCTCCACATTGCAACTAACTGATCTCCGGTTTGGTTTACACTAGCTCGTGAAAAAGATATTGGATATTGGAAAGGTATTGGATATTGGACAAGGTCATCTGAACGAAAAACATATGAGATCGTGTCATTGACGTCAGTCTCCAATAATGTCGACTAAAGGGATGTGTAGTCACAACTACTATCGGCTTTTGAGAAGGTGTTTCGCATCGCAAGCAACAAGACCTTTCTTTTATCAAGATATACTGCAGTTGGAAAAACCCCCGTATGCCGAAACACGTTTCCGAAAGCTAACGGGTTCGTTGTGTTAATTTTAGATATTCAGTACATTTATAGGCGACCTAGTGTCTCTAAAGGAATTCGATAATAAAAGAATTTTGAAAGTCGATTCTAAGGCATTGACTTTGTTGTCCGAGCAAGCCATGGTGGATGTTGCTCATCTTTTAAGACCATCTCATCTCCAAGTTTGTTTATATATAAAAGCAATTACGGTACAATTCAGTCGCTTTCAAACATCCTTAAGGATCCTGAAGCATCTAACAACGATAAGTTTGTTGCACTTGAGCTCCTGAAGAATGCTAACGTCGCAGCTGGAATGATTCTACCTGGTTGTCAGGATACTGGCACGGCTATATGTATGGGGAAAAAAGGCCAGTTCGTCTGGACGGATGGTGACGATTCAGAAGCTATTTCGCTTGGCATATATAATACATACACGTCGAAGTGCCTTCGTTACTCTCAAGTATGTAAGTTTTCATATGCGTGTTTACTAACCATCTCTACAACCCTTTAATGAAAACATTGTGAAATACTTTATTTCTACTGGATGTGCATGTTAAGGGTGTACAGTTTATGATTTAAAACCTAGTTAAGTATGATACCCTTATTCATTCAAAGTTGAGGACGTACAAATAATATGCTACGAAAACCACGTCTGCATGATGCGAAATTAAGTTCTCAGGAGTTCAAAAAAATCAAATAAGTTCTGTGACTCATCTATTTCGCTACTTCTTAACCTCACTAGTTTAAACGTCATTCATATTTACACCAGGTGTTGCCGATTGTGTGGTGCTTACTTTTTCAAATGTAAAGGGTTTCAGAGCAGTAATTCACTTTCATTTGAAACATTACACTAAACATTAAGCTCATGTTATATAAAGTTTTCTTCACTTTTGTGTTATTCTTCTGAGTGAGGTACGTCTATTGAGTCGTCGCTCCGACGGACAATTAGATAATACGATACTAGTCAGTAGAGATTTTCACTTCGGTCCAATATGATCACGTTCTATATATTTCATCACTACTAATATTTATTGCTATTTTGAAATGTTTCATCAGTTTACGTGATGCATTTTTCTGAAACGTTTTTCCTCCACTAGGTCGCTCCATTAGATCTGTTCACAGAAAAAAATACCTGCACCAATCTGCCGGCACAAATTGAAATATATTCGACCAGTGGCAACGAATACAATTTTCTGTTTGTTGCAAAGGGCGGTGGGTCGGCCAATAAAACTTTCTTGTATCAACAGACAAAGGCTCTCCTCAATCCTAAAAGTTTATATACATTTATCAATGAAAAAATTAAAGTAAGTTGCCTGCTTTCTCCACATCACTTTGTAGACGTTAGGAACTGCTGCTTGTCCCCCATATCATTTGGCTGTTGTCATTGGTGGAACATCAGCCGAATTTACTCTAAAAACTGTGAAGCTTGCATCGTGCAAGTATTTGGACCACCTTCCTTCAACAGGTTAGTTTGGTTGTCAGTAATCAGATCATAACTTTTCAGTTGTCGTTTTTGAACGTACTACTTTGACTATGTTAGAAGACAAAACAGTTACCGCATACAGTAACTTACTACTTTGCCGGACCAGGATTTGGTTCAGAAGATGGTCAGGGCAAATGACTAACATAAAACTATCCATCTTACTCTTATAAACGAAAAGCGCCTCAACTTCATCACTTTATGATGTACAAGTGTTTTTTCAAGCCCAACTAAACATATTCCTTCCATGGTGTGGGACTGTCTGAATACTGCTTAGATGTTGCGTAGTGAACTCAGGGGCTATCCGCAGTGTCAGTAGCCGGGAATCGACATCCGCCTTCATACCTGCAACAGCAAACGAGACCAAATTGGTCACAATCAAATCTTCCCTGCTCCCCCTAATATCTCTTATATGCAAACGATTCTAGTTCACTAAACGTTATTCCAGGTCCTCTGAAACCCCGTTCTAAATTACATGTTGGAGCTTTCGATGTTCGAACCTTGTGTCAAATAGGGCAACAGGCTTCTTTAGCTAGGAATATTGAATCCCGTGCTATCGATGTTTACTGCGTCTCCGATACGCGCATATAGGATTCGAGCGAAATCAATGATGTGATTTTACTTTGTCCAGATATAGAATCAACTCGGTACGCGCTCCGTGTATCTGGAAGCCCTGCTGCTGCTGCTTCCCGTGGCCTCGCTGGTGTGGGTATAGCATTGAGTTGTAGTGCAGAACTAACTCTTTTAGACTGGATCCCAGTAGACAGTCGCTTATGCACTGTCCGACTAAATGGGATAGTAAGGACTCGGAAAGATGAGGACACTTGCCGTTACCTATTCGTTGTACTTGCCTACGCTCTCACTGACTGCAGTCCAGACGAGGTGAAAAATGAGTTTTACAGAAAGCTTTAAGAACTCATCCAAAGTGTTAGGCGCTGTGATATGGTAATAGTGGCTGGTGATTTTAATGCTAAAGTTGGTGGACCAAGTGAAAAGGAAGGACACCTGAGTGTTTCTCATGTTATCGTGGCTGATCGAACAGATAATGGCAACCGTCTTCAGAATTTCGCTCAAACATCGTTGGACGATCAGTTGAATATTCATAAGGTTAAGCGCAAAGTTCCCAAAAAATTAATAATCACTTGATAGAGCCAAATGTCTATCGATTGACGTAGCTGGGACATGTGTTTCGTTTGCCAGATCACCGTTAACCTTGGCGTGAAATGTCTTGATTAGAAGTTGGCAAAAAGCTTGATAGCTAAACTAGACGTATCATCGTTGACTGGCGGACCCAGTTGTGTTGATAAATCGGATTTACTCACTTAAGATCCTAACGATAACCACAATCAGTTGTATGGGATAATCAAAATTGTTCTCGGTGTGCCGTTACTTTTACAGTAGATCTTGTACTTCAGTTTTCTCATAATCATCTGGTTTTTACTCATTCTCATTATTAATGCTACTGCGATTATTTTAAGCTTTCTGACATCTTGTCAATTTATTCACGTGTTGGTCGAGTTTGGGTTATTGGGCTAACTTATTTTTGTTCCAGACTACCTTGATAATGACTGACTGACAGCAAGCTTATAGGATTAGTTAATAAATGTATGATCTGGTTAAAAATACGACTGAGATAAGTTTCTTTCAGTCAGGGTTTATCCTATTTTAATAGGAATTCGGTAAAAGAAAACAACAGTCATGTTTGATAAAATCCCAAGTTTGTGAGTTTCATGATATCTGTGATGTCGTTCAGAAAGTAGTGATGGACCGAAGTTTGTCTAATCTCTCATACCACAGCTCTAAATCAGTCATCAGGATGGCACTCGTAAAATACGTCCAAACCATTCGAGGTGTTGATTTTTACATGTCTACGGCTTTTTCGAACGATATTGCGCATACTTTTTGTCTTTTGATAGTATTACTAAAATTCTGAAAATCAACTGGTTGATTCCACTAATTAACTGTCTTTGAGCATAAATTCCAATGTGAAATAGATTCCATTCATATACATACATGATAGTTGCCTTTTGAAATATCATTTATATTGTTTACTAATTCTGAGTTTTGTTCACCATGTATGTTAAATTTAGGTAATGAACATGGAAGAGCTTTTCGTGATCGTGAGGCTGAAGAAAAAGTTCTGGAATTAACTCAAAAAGTCGGGATAGGAGCACAGTTTGGGGGTAAATACTTCTGTCATGATGTACGGGTAATCCGCTTGCCTAGACATGGGGCATCATGTCCCGTTGGTATTGGCGTTTCTTGCTCTGCAGATAGGCAGGTATTTTATAGCAAAATCGTTTTTTGTAGACTTTTATAAGATTCTTTTTCTATTTGGTTGAGCGATAAGAACCGAGTGGATCAAAAAGTTTTGTTTGTAATTGCCTTAGTATTGTAAAGTTCGGATGCGTGACAATTAATCGTATTCTCAGGAATACGATTGTATACAACATATGTGGTTGATCAATCACTCTCATGTTGCGGTCAGTCGTCTGCAACATGGAACTTGGTATGTATATACATCAGTTCGAGTGACTATACCACATTAGCACAGAGACTCAACTGTCGATTCAAACCCCATAGTAGTAGAGATAGTAGAAGTATTAATGGTAATGGAGAAGATTAGGGCTCGAAGACATTATTCAAGAAGTATAATTCAGTGAGATAAATTTAGAAAGAGGAAGATAGACGTGATGAGGAATTCAGATGACTAGAATTTCAGAGAACACAAATAGTAGGTGCACCAGCACCATTGCAAAAGATTTTGAACCATGCCATTCAAGGTCTCTGATCATCGATTACTACCATCTCGCGCATCCCAACCAGGTAGTCTTCATTTACCAATATGGCTCTGTCCACTTGTCAGTGACTTCACGGATTTGTTCTGATTCTGGGTTTGGCCGCCACTATCTTTCTTCTAACCTACTCCTACACCACAAAACATCGCTCGTCGAGGCAGTCAGCAGTTGTGCATACGTAACACATATCCCAACCACCTCAACTGATGAAGTTTTAATACTTTATCTATTGATTTGCCATCTCTACCAAGCATTTATTTCCTAACGACAGTATTGCTTACTCGGTTGCCAATACTGAAAACCAGTGTCCTACGAATACCTTCTACTCCTACTGGCCATGTTTCTTAGCCATAAAGTAGGACGAAGCGAACTGCTGCGCAGTACACTCGTCCTTTGGTTAGCAAACGGATATCTCGCATACGTTATGAGTTACGCAAGTTGGCAAAAGACAATCGAGCCTTCTGTCTCCGTGCTGGGATTTCTTCACACCAGGCCATCAGCACTGATGAGACTCCCGAGATAAGTGAAGCAGTCAACTCGCCCAACCGCTTCACTCTCTAACTCTAGTTCAGGTGCCGATGCAAGCCAATATTGAAGCATTTTGAGGGGGAGACCACTCAGATGGGATTACATTCATTTCCCAGATTCTGTCTCTGATCTCTCACTGTGACTGCTAAAGCTGGACCACCATCTTTCTAATGGCGCAAGGGTCAAATAATCAGTACCTGCTGCTGTTTATCGCTTTAGTTTGCCTTTACAACCTTATTAAGAATCGGACGGCTCGCATCAACTTGCTATTGGCTGGTCATTGTGGGTAACTCCTAAATATTGCAACAGTTTAAATTTACCCAGTGGCTAATTTGTGTCCACATTTGCTCGTTTCATTTGTTAACCCCTATCCAGTATCTCCTAGAGACAGTAACTGTCAGTTATACGGGTTCATAGGTGTATGTTCATATTACAATACTCATTGTATAGAACTGATTATCAATTTTCATGCCATTTTTCGTGCATTTTGCGCGATCACGAATTAAGTAGTGTTGGCTCCTCGTTGTATATTCATCAAAGGTCTCTATCTGAAAGTTCCATCAATCGTGATTGAGGAAAAAGTAATGTTTTAGTTTCTTGTTCATGATATTCACTCCTGTATTTAATCAATCTCTCTTAGTATATGTGTGTCCTGAATGTCTCTTTAGACTCAGACTGCTAACCACAGTCTGAAAACATACCAAAGAATCTTCTAGTTAGTGATTAGCTGGGTTTTAGAGGAACACTTCTTCACTAAATCGTTTTCAGGTGGCAGTTCATTTTGATAAAAACCATTCGAATCATTACAAATTCGTTTCCATTGTTATCAGGTTTTCAATTCCTTTTAGATTCTGGGAAGAATAACTGGTGATGGAGTTTTCCTTGAGGAGTTAGAAACTGAGCCATCTAAATATTTACCTGATCCATCTTTAGATCAACTTCCTAATGATGTTGTTAAAGTAAATCTGAATCTTCCAATGAGAGAAGTTCTTGCTGAACTTTCTAAGTACCCAATCAGAACTCGTTTATCACTTACCGGGACTTTAGTTGTTGCCCGTGATATCGCCCACTCGAAGATTAAGGTTAGTTTTCAGATGTAAATCACTATTTATTGACGAGTTTTCTGTCTCTCTGCCCACTTAATGTTTTTGGAACATTGTAATATGTGATATGCCAATACTATGGATTGTTGTATTCTGGGAAACCTAGGAATGCGAATTGGCGATCAACGAGTTTTCACTTATTCTTTTGAGTTCGTGGTAGCCAAGTTCATGAAATTTTTTGGTGAGTTCTGAATCAGGAAATAACAATAGCACAAACGATACTCCAGTAGTGAAAGGCTCCATTTAAAGCTATCTATGTTCTTATCGATGCAGTCAGTCAGATGCAACGTAAAACTTCGTACGTAAGTACATCAGTTCATGTTGCCATACCACGTTAGCACAGATATGTAATCGTCAATTCAAATCCAATAGTATTGGAGGTAGTAAAGGTATTAGAAGTAATCGGAAAGGGTAGGATTAGAAGATATTATTCAAGAAGTATGATTCAGTGATATAAGTTTAGAAAGACAAAACTAGAGTTGTTGAAGAATCCAGAAGATTAGGATTTGAGAGAACACAAAGAATAAATGCATCGGCGCCATTGCGAACTATTTTGAGCCATGTCATTCAAGGTCTCTAACCATCAATTATTATCATCTCGCGGACCCCAACCAGGTAGTCGACAACTACCGACATGACTCAGTGTACCTGTCAATGACTTCATGGATTGCTGCCATGTTTTGATCTGGCCACCCCTAACTTTCTTCCAACCTACTCCTCCACTACAAAACAAAGCTCGTCGAGGCAGTCGGTGGTTAGGCATACGCAGCACATGTCCCAATCACCTCAACTGATGAAGTTTCATTACTTCATCTATTGATCTGTCATTCTTACCTAGTACCCGTTTCCTAATAACAGCGTAGCTCACTCGGGTGTCCCAGAATATACGAGCAATGCTTCGAAGACACCTATGATCGAAAACCAGTAACCTACGAATATCTTCTACTCTGTTTCACAACCATAAAGTAAGACGGAGCGAACTACTGCACAGAATTAAGTTTGTCTTCATTTTCTAACTGCTACTGTCTTCAAAGGTTGTGTTGACTCAATCCTTATGCCCATAGTTCTTCGGTTCGATGTTCGTGAACACTGTTGATTCTCCTGGACTTAAGCATCTCTTGAAGTCTAGTGGATTCATATTTTAATGGTTTTTATGCTACTTGGTTATGGTCAGGGGTCAGAAATTGATTTGGATAAGACAGTATAATTATTAGGCAGATATTGTTAGTATTTTAGTACTAAATGTTTTTGATTGAATAAATTAAGCACTTTAATTGGGTCTCCAGATATTATCAAACCACCGTATAATCCCATTTTCATTAAATTCTACACTGTTTATCTTTTTATCAACCGTAAAGGAACGTCTTGATTCTGGTCAACCAATGCCTGAATACTTATGTAATCACCCAGTATATTACGCTGGTCCAGCTAAAACACCCACGAGTTATGCTAGTGGGTCTTTCGGACCAACCACAGCTGGTCGGATGGATTCTTATGTTGATCAATTCCAACAAGCTGGAGGTAGTATGATTATGCTAGCGAAAGGAAACCGATCTAAAGCTGTAAGTCATTATCAACATATAAACCTGCCTTGTTAACATACTGCATACCACACTTGTTTTTTTAAATATTCGAAACTTTTGTATTATTCCCTAGATTCCACTGCTAACCACCATCAATCTCAGACTATATTGTATTATTCATTTTACCTTCACACACCAGAATATAGAATTTTCGTTATGATCGGTTTTATTTACGTAGTCAATTATCTCACTCAGTAAATAAACACTAACCTTGATACTGTTTATTGTGATTTGATTATTACTTTATAGTAGTGTCTATTATTACTTACGCTTGTTACCCCCCCCCCCACATACTCTGTCCTGGGCCTCCCTTTCCAGTTCTGTCCAACTTTTGTTCATTCTTCTCATGTCTGCCTCCATTCCTCGTTGTAATGTGTTCCTTGGCCTTCCTCTCCTCCTTTTACGTTGAGGGTTCCAAGTGAGGCCTTGTCTTGTGACGCAGTTGGGTGCTTTCCTCAATGTGTATTCTATCCATTTTCAGTGCTTCTTACTCTGCTCGAGTCTAGTCTGCCCTCTTCTACAGCAGGTTGTTGCTGATGATATCTGGCCAACGGACACGAAGTATCTTGTGTAGACGACTGTTAATAAACACTTGTATCTTGCAAATGATGGCTTTCGTAGTTCTCCTAGTTTCCACCCCATACAGTAAAACTGTCTCGACATTTGTATTGGAAATTCTGACTTTGTTGTTGATTGATAGGTGTTTTCAGTTCCAAATTTTAGAAATGCTGCTCTGACTATGCATATCCGTACCTTCACATATGCATCAGATCCATCTTGCTCATCAACGGTGCTGCCCAGATATGTAAAGGTTTTTGCATTTTCCAAAACTTCTTCGTCAAGTATGGTATGGTTTTGTGTGCGTTTTGTTGTATCGGAGTATCTTGCTTTTCCGCTTGTGTTTGTTGAAACCTACTGCTGCTACACGTCGAATTCGCTTGCATTTGTTGTTGAGTGTATGATAGAAGAGCCAGATCATCTACAAAGTCCAGATCGTCCACTGCATCCTATTTGTCCATTGGATACCTTGCTTTCCTCTAGATGCTGGCGTCTTCATAATCCAGTGGATCACCAGGAGAAAGTGAGAGGGTGAGAGTAAGCAACCTTGCCTCACACCGGTCTTTACCTCGAAAGAGTCTGTCAGTTGTCCTTCATGCACTTCTTTGCAATTTAATCCATCATAAGAATTCCGTGTGATGTTGACTATCTTCTCAAGCACGATCAATCCTTACGGAAGGGTGCTCCTGTATTTCTCACACTCGCTGAGATCGCCTTTCTTTTTTATTTTGATCAGGTATCGTTCTTTTCAGTCTGTTAGTTCTTCATTCAAAATGTTGCTGAAGAGATTGTGGAATATTTTTGCATCAGTTGCGACGTATGCTTTCATTGCCTCTGCTAGTCCTAATGCTTTGCCGCTTTTTATTTATTTGATATCATACTGATCTGTTCAATTGTTGGTAGGTCAACATTAATTGGACTGTCTGAATACTGCTTCGATGTTGGATGGGTTCAATAGGACGGTCGATTAAAGAGAAACTTAAAGTGCTCTACCCACCTGTCTCGGGGTTCTTCGATGTTGCTGATTACTTTGCCTTCCTTGCTTTTCACTGGTCGTTCTGGTTTACGACAGTTTACAGCGAGGTTATTTGTTTTACCGTTCAGTTGTCTCATGTTTGTTTCTCTTGTAGGCTTTTCCGACGCCATTACTAGATCTTTCACATATTTACGCTTGTCGGCTCTTGTGCTGCTCATCAATTGCTTGTCTGCTTTTGTGTATTCAGCCTCTACCTTGGCTTTCTCATTTGTCCGGTCTTGGGATCTGCAGTAGCCCCACAGGGGCTCCAGGTGGAGTTTTACGAATCATAAGAAGTCAAAAACTATGTTTAATAAACATTTTCCGCTGTCAACTGATAGCGAACCAATAAAGTGGACGATTTTTCTTGTCTTGTAGTTGTTCTATAAACCATATTATACGACGAGGCGAACATTGTGTTAGCATCATAGTGCTCCTGCTTATTATAACACATTCCAGTTTTTGTTGTGTAACATTCATATACCACATCAACATTCGTACAACTATCTAGATGCATAAACTTCCTGATTATTTCTATTTGTTCACTGTTTATATGTAGTTCATGCACAATGTCCTTTTTGTATCAGTAGTTTTCAAATTGGTGACTACATGGTATTTCAGCAAACACTGATTGTCTAGTGCATAATTCGGATTCGACTAACATCCATATAACCTCATTACAAAACAGTGCAAACATCAAAAAGTCTCGGTCTTGCTAGTTAATGGGGTCGAAAGCCTAATCTGTCTAAATGTTGTAATCTTAGACGATATACGCACCAGTGCCTCACTTGTTTTAGCTGCTCTTTGTGTATCAGCTGTGGTTAGGGATCGATCCTAATATAATTTTTCCTCTATTCATTGTTTCATGTCATTGCGATATGTATAGTGTAACATTGTTATTTGTCAGAACTAAAATGGATTGTTAAATTTTTCGTTGTATGACAGTTACTGTAAAGTGTATTTTATGTCTCCTGTAACCGAATTTTTCAATCTTTTCCTGTGATATTACAGGTGACAAATGCGTGCAAAAAGCATGGAGGCTTTTATCTAGGTTCGATTGGTGGTCCGGCTGCAATCCTTGCTCAGAATTGTATAAAAAAAGTCGAAGTTCTCGAATATCCAGAACTGGGTGTGTTAAGTATCCTATTGTAATTAATCAAATTTTTGTTGAATTTTTTGGGAATTTTCTTCACTAAACCTGATTTCATTTAACTAATAATAAATGTTTTAAAATTTTAATCCGTTCAATTTTGACATTGGAGTTAGTTGTGAAGTTTAAACTGTTGATTCTATGACAGTCAGTTTTGCTCGAAATTCTTTTCACATGTGTATAGTTACTATTGTTACTTCAGTTGAAAGGATTTCAATCACGTGTACACTTTTTGTGGTAAACTAAAGAGTATAGATTATTTGGGTGTCTTAAATTCTCGAGACTTGAAACCAGTCATACACCAGTCATTAGTTTTATGTTCAAGGGATATGCTTTATATTCCATTTAGTTATGTATTTGCTTCATAAATAATTTTACTTTTTCAAAAAATGTGCAGTTTAGTTCATTGAGTTTCTTTTGACGATCACATTAGTATCCCATTTCCCTACTAATGGCAACTTTCTCTCAGTTCCAATCTTCATTATTTCTGTTATTTTCTATTAAGAGGAAGAAAAATAAATAATCATCTTTTCATATTTGGAATTATCAGACTCATCATCACTACATGGGGATCTGTTTAGTTATATATGCCTCATTCAGCTATTATGCCTTGCCAATACATTTCTGTACATAGAACTTGTTAAGCATTTATATGATTAGTAGGTGTCATATACAATCTAGTCTGGCTAATACTACTTCGTCTTTTTGTACTGGAACTAAGATTTGTCCTAACACAGCAGAACTGATCTAACTTTTGGCCTTTAGGCACCATATTTCCTGTTGTTAATTGTATTTTTCAGCAGTCTTAACACTGGTTTTTAAATAAGTATTCGGCAATATTAGAAAAAATCATGTATCTAATAGCGAAGTAATGTAATCTTCACGAAACTGATTATCGTACATAATTCCAAAATTTTCCTATGTTAATGATCATTGTTGAATTTTAAATTGTTACCTTATTGGCAAATGTTTCTTGATGCAACAAATGCATCGCAGTATCTTTGACTTCGAAATAATAACATGCAAATTCCTTGTTGATAAAATCCGTGAAGTCACTGACAAGTGGACTGAGCCATGTTGGTAAATGTAGACTACCTGGTCGGGGTGCGCGAGATGGTAGTAATCGATGATCAGAGACCTTGAATGGCATGGTTCAAAATCCTTTGCAATGGTGCTGGTGCACCTACTATTTGTGTTCTCTGAAATTCTAGTCATCTGAATTCCTCATCACGTCTATCTTCCTCTTTTTAAATTTATCTCACTGAATTATACTTCTTGAATAATATCTTCGAACCCTAATCTTCGAAATTATCAGTTTTACTTCTACTATCTCTACTACTATGGGATTTGAATCGACAGTTGAGTCTCTGTGATAATGTGGTATGGCAACCTGAACTGATGTACTTACGTACGAAGTTCTACGTGGTAACTGACTGACTGTTAATAAAATTCTAGGCTCAATAACTTTATTGTTAGTTGATTATACATTTGTCTTTCCACTTTCTACATAAATTTATGACATGCTAAAACTTTTTTTTATGTCATCTGCCTATTAATGCGTATCATTATCATGTAACTTTTGTTTAGATTATTGTTTTATATAATTTTGATAATTCATTCAATGTATTATAAATGCCATTTCAGGAATGGAGGCTATTTGGCGTGTCGAAGTTGAGGATTTCCCTGCCTTCATAGTCATCGATGATAAAGGCAACGATTTCTTTAAAGAATGGCAAGTAGAATAAAAATCTAATTAGTGAAATACTTTTCAAATGATCTTAAAGTATTCTTTTCTAGTTTTCTTCATTGATATGTGAACTTATCTGACCTTAGTTCCATTTCTGTTGTTCAATTTTTATTTGTCGAGATTTATTCTTTAACTGTAAATGCAGATTAATTACAACTTACAACCAATCAAGTATTACCTTGGTGTCGAATGCTAACCGACTGCTTGGTTTTCATGATTGACCTCTGCTACTTTTTTTTAAAAAAATTTAATTTTTTATTTCATTAAAATAAAATCATTTATCTTAGATAAATCGCAGTCTTCTTAAAAAGAGATTAATTTCTTACATTCTGGAAAGTAAATATAATATTTATGTATAAATTATCTTGTAGTGTTCTTACTGAAAAGCAGTATAAATAATTTATTTACTTAAGTGATAATGATTTAAACCGGGTGTTACAATTATTTATTACTCAATCTAAGCGGCAACAGTGATTTTAATATTGATGTGAAAGTAGGCTCACCATGACCGAATGAAAGATTGGCCCCACCACAAATAGATTCTAGATAGTGTTTGGTTCTATGAGTTCCAAAAATTTTAATTTTGTTATTGTTTCCGTTTTAGGCGGACGTGATGAATATGAGTTTTTTTATATCCTTATGTATTATACGATGTGCTAGATCATCATGACAGGCATTTTTTTCACTTTGACCTATTGAATAATTCACTCGATAAGTACTTTGCATTTGATAATATCATAGATTGTGCGTAACATGTGCGTGTAAAGTTACTATTTTTTAAAATCATTATTATCCTGTTACAATCCTATCTGTAATATTGTTGAAATGTACGGAATAAAACTCGAAAATGTATCAACTGACCAGCGCCAAGCTCACGTATGATAAATATATTATCCAGAAACTGCTGTTCTTAAACTAATATTCGTTTTCGATAATTAGCATATTTCTGCATCTCAAAATAAAAACGTGATTTTATTTAAATCATGATTGACCTATTATCAGTTGAAGTTGATTTTGTTTACATGGCGGCTTGTAGTCGACATGACAACAATTGTGATAAGATATAGTTAAAACGACAAAATAATGATAATATTTGAAAGGGATTATGAAAAGCCTAGTAATTCATAATGCTTCACGATTATTTATGTATATATATTTATGAGAATTTAAATTCAATAATACAACTTTAGGTGTCAATCACATATATTTTATTTCAGTGCGTTCATTCTGTGCAGTTACTTGAAGGATCCTGAGATAATTTGGGCGTATAACCCTACAAAAAATGCCGGTTACGGTTTATAATATCCAATAAAAGGTTGTAGATTAAATTCTTTGATTAGTATATTTTTGTGAAATTAAATAATAGTCTGATATTGACTGCTATTGTAGTGTCAGTAATAAAAAGTATTTATGAGGACGAAAAGATTAGGGTAATTGTACTTACGTCCTTACTTACACCTTTTATCCCCAATGGAGCATAGGCAGCCGACCAATATTCTCCAAGCTGCTCTATCCTTTGTTTGCCTTTCTAGTTCTTTCCAGTTTTTATTCATTCTTCTCGCCTTTCTCTATTTCTCGGCGTAATGTGTTCTTTGTCCTTCCACCTTTCCTTTCACTTTGAGGGTTCCAAGTGAGGGCTTGTCTTGTAAGGCAGTTAGTGTGTATCCACTCCCACCGCTTATTAATTATTTCCTCCTCAGCTGGAATCTGGTGTGTTCTCTCCCACAGCAGGTTGTTGCTGATGGTGTCCGGCCAACGAATCCGAAGTATTTTGCGTAGACAACTGTTATTGAATACTTGTATCTTGTGGATGATGGCTATCTTAGTTCTCCAAGTGTCCGTTCCATACAGTAGAACTGTTTTGACATTTGTATTGAAAAATCAGACTTTGGTGTTGATTAAAAGTCATTCGAGGTTATAGATATTCTTCACTTCTAGAAATGTAACCCTTGCTTTGCCGATCCGGGCCCTCACATCTGCATCGGATCCATCTTGATTGTCGATGATGCTGCCCAGGTATGTAAAGGTGTTAACTTCTTCCAAGGCGTGTCCATCAAGAGTGATTTGGTTGGCGCATGTATTGGAGAATCTTGCTTTTCCCTTTATTTATGTTGAGACCTGCTGCTGCTGCTGAGGTTGCTGCTACACTGGTCGTCTTCTCTTGCATTTGTTGTTACGTGTGCGATAGAAGAGCCGGGTCATGTGCGGAGTCCAAATCGTCCAGCAGTATCCTAGCAGTCCACTGGATACCTTGCTTTCGTCCATATGCTGGCGTCTTCATAATCCAGTGGATCACCAGGAGAAAGTGAAAGGATGAGAGTAAGCAACCTTACTTGACACTGGTCATCACATCGAACGAGTCTGTCAGTTGTCCTTCATGCACGTCTTTGCAATTTAATCCATCATAAGAATTCCGTGTGATGTTGACTATCTTAGGCACGCCGTATTGTTAAAGAAGCCTCCATAATGTTTTCATGTCCATACTATCGAATGCTTTCTCGTAGTCGATGAAGTTGATGTAGAGTGGTGAGTTCCATCTAATTGATTGTTTCACAATGATCCGTAATGTTGCGATTTGGTTGGTGTACGATTGATCCTTACGAAATCCATCCTGTTGTTCTCGAAGTTGGACGTCTACGAAGTCCTTCATTCTGTTTAACACTAACCTCTTGAAAGGGGAATGGTATTCATCACAAAATCTATAGGTTGTAGCTTTGGCCCTATTCGAGATGATGAGTTTGTATTACTAACAAGTCAAAGACTATGGTAAAGCAACGTTTGGTGTTTTTCTCAGTTACTAAGTGGATGTCAATTTAGTGAAAACTGTTATAGTTTTTTTTTGTTTCAACTATACTGTAACTGGCAGGAATAATTCCGTTTACATATAGATTGTATGAATTGGCAGATGTGAGAAGTTGTGAAATAAAACTTTCATTACAGACTTCAAATCCCTCCTGTTACTATTACTTTAACTTATATACTGTGTTCTAAAAGCAACAGAAAATATATATTGATTCATAAAAACTCATTTACTTTAATTCATATAAAGCTGTAATTTTCTCAGATATATTTGTTAAGTTCATAATACGCAAAAATAGTTCCGATGATCTCAATTCATCAGTATTACATAAACATAAGTTACTTACTTAACGTTGCAGGATAAATATTTTATCTTTTCTATCTCTGAAGTAACGATATTTTATAAATCTTTGTTTCGATCCAATGATGATTGAAAATTTAATTAATGTTGAACTGCAAGTGCTATGCTTGTTTTGTTCAAACAAATATACTAGCAAACAATGAACGTTATTCATGTTAAACGTTAGTAGGAACTACTCTGTCTTTCCGGACTCGATTTTTCTGTATTAATACATAATAATTTTTGAAGAGGTGTTGCTGAAGGCCGATTGTACTGATCCCTGAAGTGCTCTGCCCATCGATCCTATCTCCTGGGTTAAGAGTGAACAATAAAGCCATCCTTTTCAGACAGTCTCATTTTTTCAATAGAATCCTCCAATGCCCATCAAATTAGACGTTTTATAAAATTTTTAAAAATCATCTCTAATGTAATTAAAGAAGTAAAATGTTTTTTTTCGCTCCTGTGACTTCTCAGTTATGAAGTAAAGAGGCGAGCTTACTGTTTTATTAAAATCTAATTGATGCGTAAATATTTGTCATTGACATTTTTTTATCGAAAATCATTTTGTCTGCATTATACGCATTTACACCTATACAAACAGCTAAATAAATTCGACAAAGACAAATCAGAATATTTTTTTGGTTCTGAATAAAGAATATTTTCTGGTTTATCTATTTAGAAGAGAATGATTTGATTTCTTTATGAGTAAATTATATTTAAATCAATGAATTTTAGTTCATGACTGTAAGCATTTCAAAAGTTCAATCACAATTTACACATCAACCGAAAATTGTTTATTCATTTGTAAATTTTATGAAATCGATCCAACCACGTTTATTACACACAATATCAGTGTACAGTCCTGAAAGAGGCACGACAATAAAGGATAGTCTTTTTTTTTTCTCTTCTCTTGATCATTATTCCACACTAATGAATTATAATTGAACAGTCTATATCATTACATTTTAGGTTCATAAACACTGATAAAAAATATAATAATAATAATAATTATTGTTATTGTTATTGTCGAATTATACTTGTCGATAGTCGATTAGCTTTGAATTTAAGATAGTATTCATTGTAATTATTATTAACTTGCATGATTAATGATTGCTTACAAAAGTAATTTTGTTTGATACAAAGAAATCGTTCTATTCTTCTCACTAGTAACATATGGATCTTTTCTTTTGGCAAATCTCCTTACTATTTATTTGCCAACTTGAATAATAATTAAAATTGAAAATTCTCGGCGCCTTAATTGCAAAAAAGAAGCACAGATGGTGAAATAGAAATGATTTATCAATTCAGTAAATAAAAACAAAAGATTTACTAAAAGCTTTTGGGAATTAATGTAAATTCTTTAACATGGGTTATTGTATAAATAATCATGAGACCAAAATCTAGTTTTAGTCGATTGGTGATTTTATGTATATATTTCAAATGTATTTTAGATCCACGTGCATACAAATGACTACAAATCCAGGTTTATTTGAAATTACAGATTGTTCCATGTAGATAAGTGTTATCATTAGTCAACTGTTAATGGGCAATCAAAATATCTTCCTTATAGGTTAGTTATATTTTGTAACACACTGTTGCATGCACAATCTATCTGATCGTCAATAAGCAAACTATTGTAATGACTAGTTTAGTAGAATTAAAAATGGATTCTATGTCATTGTTAAGTTATTATGAACTTTGTAAAACAACAGATCACAGACTGATTACTACTGTGAAAAATTATTCACCCAAGTTTTACGTGATACGTAGCGTAGAAGTATTTTCATAATTTTTCATAACTGTATTAGAGAATAGTTAGTAATCAACATAAAACGCTAATCTAGGCTTAATAGCTGTAA